ATAATAAGATTCAGATTAGAATGACCTGATCTGAAAAATTTTTCAAGATTCATGGTCACTGATTCTTGGTAAGAAATCAAGATCAGTCCATTCTGGTCTGAATCAGGAGATTGTTTGAAAAACACTGGTATCTCAGTAACGGCTTCTGGCTAGAGAACTCTGAATATACATTCTCAAAAGCCTTAATATCAGCTATAATATGTACTAAAAAAAGTCCCGCAAAAATGATTCTCTTTGTTAATTTCAAGTGTATTGGTGAGTACCCAACTGGCTTTTGATTGTACGAGCCATGATCGTATGACTACACACCATCAGATTCTGACTGAAAATCTGAAAAAAATGGCTTTCTCAGGAAGAAAGTACTGAAATCAAGATTCCGTCAAAATGATCTCAAGATTGTCGACTTGTGAAAGCACTTTTTTTTTCTTGGCCGTTAGACCATTAAGGGAAATATGTTTGAAAACATTTTCATCAACATTCTCATCACATAGTATACAGTCAGAAGCTTCAAATGTATGAAGCGAAAAGAAGAGAACGAATAGAATTTAACCTCAGTATACAGTTCATAGCGACATCTTTTCATCTTTAATCTCGTAACACCATTCCATTTCAATTTACTATTTTTAATTAAGCAGTTTTACCAAATAATTTCTATACCTAATTTGGTTACGTAGATTCCATTTAGCTTATAGATAAAGGTAAAGTGTAGACAAGCTAATTGAGATATGAATGCTGTACGGAAATGTCATAATACGCCCTATTGTCTCCTTTTTAGTACTACTAGTCTTATAAAAACCGTTTAGTAGTCGAGAAACGCGTTTAAACGCGTCTCGTTTTTACGTAATCGAAATAAAACATTCTCGTTTCAGCATGGAAAAGTGGGATTGTGCAGAAACTCAACATGTCATCGTGCCCTTTTTCTCGGAAAGTTTTGTCACAGGATAAATGCAATCGCCTACTCTGGGTGAGCCATTGTTGGATTATCTGGAAGAAAAGATAAAATAAATGAATAATAATAAAAATTCTTGATTAACTTATTTGAATGCATTTAAATATGTTTTGAAAATGATCGCGAATATGGCATTTCAATTACTTTGCTTGTTTTTAGATGGCAGCCTCTTTAGTAGCTCGCGGCATGGCTCAGTTGAAAAGCAAAGAATTTCGAGATTATTTCTTCAGGTAAGTTCTTACTGTATTCAGATTAATCGGTTTTGTAACTCATTATCTCTCTTTTTAGCACGGTAAGTTTTCGAAAAATTACGTGTCAATATAGAATTGATTATGTGCTTTAATTATTTTTGTTTAGCATTTTTGGGGACCAAGTAAGTTCTTTTCATCTTTATGCTATCTCTGTTTTGTGACTGTTCGTTTTTAAGTTGCTAATTGGGGCTTACCATTAGCGGCATTGGCTGATTTGAAGAAAGATCCAAGTATAATTAGTGGAAAAATGACTGTCGGTATGCTACTTTTTTTTTTGAAATATTTAATCTCATTGATTTAATGTATTGTGTCTTTTTAGCTCTTTGTTTTTATTCTTTACTATTTATGCGGTTTGCATTACGTGTTAAACCAAAAAACCGTTTATTATTTGCCTGTCATTTTGCAAATGAATGTGCTCAGTTAACACAGTTGACTAGATTAATCAATCACGAGTATATGTTTAAGCTTCTTTTGTTGTTTCGCTCGTCTGTCTTCATTCAGTGTTTTGTTTTCTTCTTTAAGATATGGTAAAGCACAACCTACGAAACAACAGCTACAGCCAGCACCAAGATCAGTACCGCCAACGAAAACAGCTACAGCATCTTAAATCAAAGTATTAGTTACATTACAGTAATTTTTATTTGAACGCTGTTGATAGACAAAATGAATTTGTGTGTATGTGTGTGTTTTATATTCATAATTATGACAGTTCGAATATCTTATATATATATATGCCGGTTCCATTTCTATCTCTTTTCCAGTGCATTTAGTATTACATCGTTTTTTGTATGGTAGTTTTAGTTTTTATTCTTTGCACATTCATACCTATCCATCTATTGTAAAAACAAATAGACAAAATCTTCCGATAACGAACAAAATAAAATAGAACAGTAAATTAGTATTGATAACCCTTGTTAAGAGAATATAATACAAACAAGACAGGTTTTTTCGAGGAAAATATAGCGTTTTTCCAAAAAAATCTTCCAGTCGGCGGAGCATTTTTCCCAAGAGGGAAAAGGCGGAATGGGCTGGAATGGGCCATTCCATACCATTTCAAACATTTTTGACCATTTTGGAATGGTATGGGATGGCCTGGAATGGTCCATTCCAATCCATTTCGTACCATTCTATACCATTCGAAAACGCTTCTTCCCCCTTGATTTTTCCTCTAGAAGCATCTCAAAGTTCTCCGCGTTCGGCGGCTGATTAGCTGACACATCTAATCATCGATGTTTTGATCGAAGTAAAACCTTTATTCAATTGTAGATCACTACTATTTATCTTGAATCTAAATTTTCTTTTATATCTTTGAATCTAATCACTAAATTAAAAGAAAACGTTATTTTCCTAAATCTCAAGCACAGAAAGCTTGAATTAATATCTTTACGTAACGAATTTCCTTCAAAAACAGTATGAAAGTTAAACTTTCCATATTCAACATTCCCCCAAGAAAAAGAACGCACAATAGGACGAAAAACATATTTACAAATGAAAAACTGTGCTAACGTTCGTTAGATGTCCTTTACCTTTCCGTTTCCCTATTAGTTGAATAGGTGTTTTACCAGTACCTTGGCACATGTTCTATAAAATAGCTAATCCAACCGAATACGTCAAGTAAAACAACTTGCACCGCAGGTGAAAAAATTTTTGCAAAAAGTATTCGACGAAGGTGAGGTATATGGTACAAAATTAACAGCAGAAGAGGTTGTTAAAGGAATGAGAACTGAACGAAATTCACATGGTTCAAAAATCTTCACACCTGATCGATATTTAACGGAAAATCAGGTTAAAAATCAATTCAAGCAATTACACTCAAAAAACAAAAAAAGTAAAAGTACAATGCACATCGACATGAAACACTCATCACCTGATCGAGCTAAACGAACTTTTGCTCGTGCAACAACAAGGTCAAGAAAAGCTATTTCAAACGCCGATATCGCCGATGAAGATGATGGCCATGGAAATATACCAATTAAAAGAAAGGCAAAACTTCCGGCTTCTCATTCGATTCTCGATAATTTCGATGAAGATGACGATATGTTATTATCCGACATCAAAAACACTTTTCAGAAAATGACACCATTGGTTCCACAAACATTAATAACACATACAAACGTAACGACGGAAAATAATGATAAACTCGACAACATGAGCTTATTCGAACGACGAAAACATTTCTCAGCAAAAACTCAACTATATGCGGCTGATAGTGATATAGACGTCGAAGACATTCGTGCTGTTGAACCACAAGATTACATTTAAAATCTTAAACAAAGAATTCTTTCCTAAACTACGCCTACCAGCCTAATATTCTAATTTGACTTCAATTGTGTACACCACTATGCATATAGAAACACTTTATTCGGTTTCCCACTCTGGATATTTAAAAACCTGAACTGATACGTCTATGTTTAGATAGAAGTTTACACATCAATATGTTAGAAAAGATTAGATATAGAGACACAATACATCAAAAACATGTATAATGCAAACTACCTATCCTTTTATCTTTTTTTCCGACTCAAACAAGCACTTTTCCGCGACATATGTTCGCACATGTGCCAGATGATATCAGCACATGTATAGTTGGACTTTCCGAGTCTCGATGTTTCTTTTGAGATACTACAAGATTATATTTTGCGATGTTCGTTTTTCGTCATTTCTGGGGTCCTTTCAGCCGCTCCCGGCAATCCATCTATGAATATGCTCCACATAACTGGCTTCGGACATAAAACTTAATTTTTAAAATGCTCTATTTTCACTTTCTCTGAACTATGAAATGGCCTGCACCCCTAGTGAACTAGCTTTTTCAGATCAAAACTATAAATTTGAGTAGAGCAACATGTGTTCTGTGTAGTGGAACCCGCGTTTAGCCAAATACTTTTCATAAAAGAATTTAGTCAAAAAGTACGGCCATTATTAATATTTTCCAATTTTACAGGTACGATTCCGCACATGTGCGAAGACCAAATCCACATATGTTTTTCGGTACCGGTAGTATTTGACGTATACTACTTATGCTGCAAGACCGAGCTCTAGCTCTGTTGCTTAGACCGAAATATGAGGGCTGCAAAATGCAGTTTTCTGTACATGGTGTTTTTAGCAATTTTTAAGGCTTTTACGAAAAATGCTATAAGTCCAGAAGGAAGTATTGTCCAGTCAAAAAATTTTTGCTAATCTTCCTAACTGTGTTGCCGCTATCTACTCTGAGCATTTGGTCTGGAAAACTGAACATCAGTTGAGCAGCTTAAGTCGTGCCTGCCGTGCAACGGCTCATAAGCTGCTGATAATAACGAAAAATATCTAACCAAGCCGACGGTTGGATTGTCAATTTACATTAAAAAATCTACACTGATTTTTCTTGTCATTTCATTTTCACTTTCACATACATACCATGGCAAACAGCAACTGCTAATAGGTACTCTCACCTAATAGTAGGAGACAAACATAAAAAACGTGGAGAAAGATAAAATAGAAAACAATGTTATAAAAATATGTTTTAACTTCTAGAAACCACAAGGATATTTTCAATAGATTTATTATATCCAGATCATATGTTTGCCTTTGGTATCTGATTATCTATGACAAAAAACTTTGTTCAAGATCGCATTGGAACGTGTTAGGCAATAAAATAAATTCATATGGTTACTATGTTCATATTAGCTTTCTTAAGTATTGTATACTTTACCATTTATATCATCTAAAAATCAGAAAACATACTATTGTATTAAATCTTGGCTTGTTTATTTACAATATTCGAGTTTTGGATTAATACATTTGACAGAAAATACATTTATAAATGAAACAACTTGACAAACAGACGAAAAATATTGATTTTTAAGTGTACATTTTTAAATTTTTTAAAATATATATTAAAGATTGAATTAACGTAATACGTTAATACGTTAATTCAGTCTTATATTCAATATAATATTATATGTGTGATTAAGTTCACTATTTACATAATACTTAAAGTTGCGATAACATCATTTTGGAGTATATTTTGTAACTCGTACTATAATACGAGCGTGTACATTTGAACAATATCGGTAATTTTTTTTGAAATTTGTGTTATTTCTATTAAGGGGGTACCCCTCCTCTCTTTCCGTAGAAATGTGGGGAAATAAAAACTAAAACTCACTAAGGCTTCATATTTTCAGAACTGACTGGAAGCTCAATGGCGCATATTTTTGTTTTTGTTTCAAGTTTTTAACTATTGTCGTTCACCAGTTTTCTGAAAAACCTATCATTTTTGGGTACAATAGTTTTCGAGTAAACGCATTTTGTACACAAGTCACTTTTCTTAGGGCATTTGCCCCGATACTTATATCTTCACGAAAACTCATCGGAAAATTCTGGAAAACGTCTCATTGTGAAGAAAACACTTTCTTCTATTAGACTATGTGTAAGAAAAATTTTGGATGTACAGAAAAGAGTGAAAAGTTTATGAAACTAAAAAATTGAGTTTTTTAGGTTTTGAAGGAAAAACTTCAAAAATACATCCCTTTTTGAAGAAAGATCGTGGAGTGTTGAGAGTGGTCTCATTTTGTAGCCCACATTTTCCTCTACATTAAGCTATACTCAGCTCAAAATCCGAAACTTTTTCAAAAAAAGAAGGAGGAGTACCGTTAAGGATTATAATAAATGTACTGTACAGATCGAACTTGGATAGGTTGGTATTGTCATCTAACATTAGCTTTTCTTCACATTAATGTCGATCATCTACGTAAATCAAGTTCTTGTTCCATTATTCGATGTTGATTTAGTGATAAATGGTGTATTTGTATCATTGTTAGCATTGTTACATAATGAATTTTTAATACTAGATGATGGATGATCTCGTTCATTTGTTGAATTTTTTCTACTGCTATCACTATGTTTCGAATAGTACTGTTGTGGTCGATTATGATTATTTAATTGGTAACCAAGTGAATAAATTCTTTCATCATCCAATTTGTTAATATAATTTCGAAAATATGTTGGTTGTTGCCAATCAGGAGTATGATGGACGAGAAAACGATCAACACTACGACATATTTCACGTTGAACTTCAGAATTAATCAGTGTATATATCAAGGCAATCATTAAACCCTATAGAATAGAGAGGATTGTTAGACAAATTGAAGGTGATTTGAGAGAAAGAAAGAGAACCGGATCACTTACTTGAAGTGATGAAAGTATCGTATGTATCGTAAGATGAATAAGAAGTAAATTTGAATTTAAGATTGGCTTTGTGTTCCATGAGAAAAGAAAATAGTGAATTCCGAATAAAGGAAGTAATATCAATGTTGAACGAGTTAATCGACTATACAAAAAAGCATATATTTAAACGAATGAACGTTAATATATGATAAATCTTTACCTATATTTACTAAATCGTTTTTTATCATCGTAAGCACATGTACGATAGGTTTTATTCAGTTTTCTTGCTAATAGTATACAAATGTAGATAAATATAACAAAATTGAACTAAACATTTAGAAAAATAGGAAGAAATAAGAATATTATAAGTACTAAAGAAGTTATAATTACAATTTGTAAAATAATATTTGGTCCATGTAAAATCCAATCGTATCGAGATGCCTCAAACCAACACCTTTAACAATAAAATAAATATATCAAAATATGACGCTTTGAACAATTTTCTCATTCATAAGAGAAGTTTGAGTATATAGAACAAATGGTAGCGTACAAGAATCTTTCTCTTTGGAGAACGAATTTTTTTTTCGAGTAAAAGAGACATTAGTTCCCTCTAAAACTTATCTATAGTATAGCTACAAGTTGAAATATACAATGTCAAAAAAAAAGAAGAAGTCAAATAACTTACGAGAGTAAATCGATTTTTGTTAAATAACGGCTTGTATATGTAACGGCTGTAAGCACTAGTGGTGCTACTACAAAAATTCACAGAAAGAACATGAAACAATAATGGTTACGTGCTTTTATTTTATCATTACTTACACCATCCGATCATAATATACCATCGAACACGATCTTTGTGTGCTTTTGCTCTTAATAATCGAAATAGATAAAGAGCTTCACAAAATACAAGCCAATGTGCTACGCTACTATTGATATAATTCATTAAAATAGTAAATAATTTACAGTCCACTAACTTTGAACAATAAGTTATATTAATTTTACATAAAATTAAAATTAGTTTATCTTTTTTTACTTACTTCATGTGTTTTGAAATAAACAGTTGTTCTATTACAAGAGTCGATACGTTGAAATACGTTATGTGCAAAATAGCCTTTACTCATTGCTAATTCAGCAATTATTTGAATTATTGAACGAATTAGAAATACAAAAAAAACATTAACATGAAGAAGATTTCGAGAACATTGACGTAATCGACTAAAATAAGAACAAATAAATTAATTTAAATTAAATATACTTTTCACTTCAAAATGATCGTTACCTATTTCCTAATAAAATAAAAATTCCAATTGCTAGTAAAACAATTGAGACACAATTTGCACATACAATAAAGTAACGTCTGGCAATTATGTATATACTGGGTAATAAAACGGTGGGAAGTGTATTATTCTAAAAATAGTTTGATACATTTGAAGATTTGTTCAATAGCTTATCTATATTTAGATATATACCGAATCTTGAGATGATGAATCGCAACCTATGCATAATTCATAATGCGCGCGTTCTTCCCATTTAGAGTCATTTGTACATAAACGAGTAGCATAAGCTAAATTATAACTGAAATCGTTTAGAGAAAGAAAAAACAGCTGTTGTTTATATATGTACTCTACCGTTTACATTTGGAGAAGTAAAAAATTTTCTTGGACATGATTGATTTGCTATTATGCCAGGACGTGTTGGAGGCCAACAAGCTATTTTATCGAAAAATACTGAACAATGTGGACCTGTGATGAGAGAGAGAAATCAGTTTTTTGACTAGGAAAAACAAATAGTCTGTATACCTTGCATGGTCGTAAAATTAAATATTTTACATTCATCGGGCATCATTTTTATAGCCGATGGTAATGCTGGTAATAGCGAATATCAAAATACAGAAGCAGATTTTAATTCTTGTTCTATTGTTCCTAATACAACAAATAAGGAAACAGATGTCAAACAAAAACTTGACTAGTCAAGTACTGACTTATGATCAAAAGATGTTAAATATCAGGTAAAACAGTATCACTTTTTTTAAACTTCTATCGAACTCCAAATCTACGAATGAATGATGAATCAATAGGATCTAAAGTTATCGCTGAGCAGTACTTAAATCTCACGATTCTTTCTTTATAGCATTGAGTAGGACATTACAAAATATCAGCTGCTTTATTCTCATGATACCGATGTTTTTTCTACCTTAGGTTTTCCCAAGAAAAAGAAGGCCCTTGATTGAAATTACGTTATTATGTAATGTAACGATAATTAACTTCGTTTGTAGTAAAAAAACTACAAAAGGTCTGTATTTCAAGGTTTTTGGTTTTATGGTTTTAACTGGCGTTGATTTAAAAGTTACTCAATGGGAGCAAAAAAATGTCAGAATGGGTGTTCGGACCTCGCCATAAATAGAGGACATCAGAACTCAATCCGAAAAAGCAATTTATTTTATCCAATACATTCTCACGGATGCTATACGAACCGTTCACAAATACATTCTAGAGCACTCCATTCTTATACCCATTCTAATACTCGAATTTTCACCGAGAGTTCGGATAGTCAGGAATGGCGACCTTTCATCTACGAGGTGGATGTCGAAACTGATACCAGGTCGGTATTGGTAATATTTTAGAGTTATGTACTGTTCTGATCCCATCACCCCGTACCAAACGACCGTTCATCACGTCGAAATCGATATCAGACGGTTCGATTATTAAATTCTACTTCGTCTTTTCAGCAGTCTTTTTCCTCTTGTAGATAGTGTAATCAGATACATCAGGTTCACACCTTGTCTAATTAGTCTTCAAAATTTAGAAAAATCATCGTCACCTCTCGTAAACCGTACATAGAATAGCAAACGATCAAGTGCTTTCAAATTTCATTAGATTGTATGCAGTTACCTGTTTATAGCTAAAAAAAGAATATTGCTGATACTCATTGTTTAAAAAAGTTTCAGTGACTTCTCATGAATGATGTGTAACTTACCGTAAATATTATTCTGCTTATCTTACCTTTCAATCTTGGCTCTTTTTTTTACTTCAGTTGATTGTTTAATACGTGTTTATTCTAATGTTCATATTTAGAAATGATTGAAAGTAACGAAGGATGAGACAATGTTAAAAATCTGCTCTTTTCCTTCATTGGAATAGTATTAGTATTACAAGTCACGTAAAACTCAACTATTGTATGATATAATTTATGCTAACAGAAAAACATTAAATTTCCTAAATCGAAAAAAAGAAAACACAACAGGTTATCATCAGATAACCACCACCCATTATTCTTTTGTTCATTTAAACAATGCTTAATATTAATAATTTATATATAATTATTTATTTGTATTATTAACAAAAGAGAAACAAAACACTGCACGATATTACAGGTTAATAAAAAATTGGATGTCAACATCGTCCTTACACCCAATAAAAAATAAATAGACAAAAATTGTATATTCTCTTAATTATGAAACCATTCTTGATTTGTATGACATAAGCATAGTTGCAAACTTAATGATAATAGACAGAATGACAGTCTGTCGTGAAATGTATACTATAGAAGTTGCAAGCGATAACTACTAAAAATAACTTTTGTAAGAGTGACAACAGCAATCCTCTTTGACACGAGACGAAATCATCCTTCATTCATTCCAGCTATATAATATTATGTATTATCTGGATTTTTAACCGAATTTTCTCCTAGATAATCAAATGGTATTCTATTTTATTATAACATAATATCCTGAAAATAACGAGTGACATAGAAATAACTGCGCACTTTTCTATGACCTTTTTCTCCAAGTAAAATTTTGTCCAGAAATATGATTTTAGTGTCAAAAGATAGAGAGTTTCATGCTCTACGAAATCCTCTATATCCGATATTCGCATGCTATTTCATTATTTGAAAAAATAACGAACGCAGAGTAAAGAAAAGTAAAAAGCATAACGGCCACAGAAAGAGAAGGTTGCATGTTTTTTTTTGTACTCAACCTAATTGATTATTTATTAATGTTTCTATTAGCTATTCATCACATGTACTTTGTGTAAAGAAATAGTCTTTATCTAATTAATTCTTATCGAAAACTAAAACAAACATCACTCATACTGGATAATCTTAACATAATGGGGAGCTAACTTTTTTCCCCGTACGGTTCCGTGATTTCCTTCAACATATGAAAGATTTTCTGCTCTACAAAATTCAGTATGTTGTGCATTCACACCGCGTTCTCTTAGTAGTTTTTTCCTGCTTTTCTTTAAATTTGACGTCATCCGAGAGGGCTAATTTTTCTTGTTCACTAAAATTCTTTGCAGTTTTGATGCCATATGAACACGCGGCCTAGCAAAAACGACAACCCTGAATTCGCTGAGCATTTCTATATCCACTCTTTTCGCTCAGGTTCTATATAGTTCCGTAATAGATTAGTCAGAAGCTGAAGTCACTAAAATTTTGACAACGCGAGGGAGTCATGCTCTTTACTTGTCTTTACTCTACGTTATTTTTTCAAATAATGAAACAACATGTGAATATTGAATATAGAGGATTTTGTAGAACATGAAACCCTCTATCTTTTGACACTAAAACCATATTTCTGGACAAAATTTTATTTGGAGAAAACGGTCACAGAAAAGTGGACAATTATTTCTGCACCATCCGTTAACAGATAAATAGTTTTGTTCTAGCACCATATGTAAAGAATTGATCCATGAAGTTGACACTTGAAGGTCTATCATTTTATAAGCATAACTTCAAGGTAAATTTTTATTTTTAAAAAATTTAAATACTTAGGACAATAACGTAAAATTTACTTTGGATAAGCAAGTCTACTAAAATTTTAAATTTGAGAGCATGTATCAGTAGAGATAAATAACATTAAGCTGTCTTAACTTGATACTTTTGTAATAAACGTATTCTTATTAGTATGAAAATGATTTATTCTGGTTGATTATTTAGAAAAAAAAACGTTTAAACATAATTTTTCTTGTATAGCAACTACTAAGGAAAGAACAATAGACAAATGCAAACAAACAACAGCCACAATGAATAAACTAGAAAATAATAGAAAAAAAAAACACAAGAAAGAATGAACTGTACATACATATTCAACAATCCATGTTCATCGCTATTCGATAAAGTAGTAGTCGTTGTTATTTCTGCTGTTATAGAATCAATAACTGTTCAGTTGTAAAAGGTTTGTTTAAGAAATATAAAAGAAAATAAAATTTTTATAAAAAAAAGTGTGCAGCACCGGAAATAGAAAAAAATTTTTGCTTTATATTTTTGACTAGTTATTTGTCTTTCTCATTCGTTTATCTGATCTTTCTTGCCCAAATTTTGACTTCCATCAGATTTTCGTATCGATTCCGTAATCGCTTCTTGTGATGAACCTCCACTTACATCACCTTCTGATGGATTTCCGCTTTTCGTCTGAATAGTTGACGATATTTCCGTATATTGATTTATTGGATGTTGACTACTATTACCACCAATACGTCGTACTGTTCGATATTCCGTAATTGTTTTTCCAAATGGTTTTGGAGCTACTGGTGGTGGTCCCACAGGACTCGGACTGACACGGGTAATGAGTTGTTTACGATCAGATTCAACGGTGACCTTGATATGCGTTGTGCGTTCTGTTACTTCAAGCTAGAAAAAAGAATAATATTCTGACTTATAACTGACAGACAAAAATATCTTTTTAGTTTCATCAGTACTTTTGAAAAATCTTGTAAATATTTTCAGGTAATTGACTAAATATATTACCTGTATGGGAGTTGGTGATTTCTCTTTTTCAGCAACAACTGTGTTATCAGCCGACGTTAAAGCAGGCGGAGATGTACTATTGATTTTTGTGTTCAAATAATCTGTGTCAATGGGCTCTTGTTGTTCTTGATCTTCTTTTTCATATTTCTTCAAAATTTCGTAGGCTGCCTTTCCTTTTGTTTGTGGTCTTTGCTGTGGTGGTGGTGGTGGTGGTGGTAGTGGTGGTTGTTGTTGTTGTTGTTGTTGTTGTTGCAACCCGACTGACGCAAAAGAAATTGGTGGTTGCTGTTGATGAACGTTACGGGATGATTGTGGTCTATTTGCATAATCATGTAGTTTACTACTATTAACATTCACTTCTTCTTGATTAGTAGTTGTATTCATAGCAGTAGCAGTAGCAGTAGCAGCAGACGCATTAACGAATCCACGATCATCCGTTTCAAACCGTCCATGACGTGATTTGGCTGCACGATAATAAGATTTTTCATCTGTACCATTTTCTTCTGTTGACGACGATAATGTCGGTAGGGGCGGTGTTTTTTCCTTGAGCAATGATTGTGTTTCTGGTAGTGCACGATACTCATCAGCACGTTTTTGATGATCCGTCATTATTTTCCATAATCCCTCGATTGTCTGAGATTTTTTTGATGATTTGGGTGATTTTGGTGATTTTGGTGATTTAATTTGAACGTCTTTACCACGTTTTTGTTTTTGTTGTTGTTGTTGTGGTAAAGGCGATGTTTGAACAGAAGATTGTTGTGATAAAGGCGATGTTTGAACAGAAGATTGTTGTTTATCAGCTATTGTGTGAACATCTGCTACAATTTTATTCAAATTTTGTGAAGTTACTTGATTACTATCAGTAACTGAGTAATTAGTATTTTCTAACGATTCTGTTGTAGTTGCGGATGCCAATGGTTCGACTTGTTTCATATTTTTCTAAAATAACAAAAAGAGTTACTTGTTGTACGATTGTCAATTTCTACAATATTTGAATCCTCTATAGAAACTATTTGGACTCGCTGGATGAACATCTTACTTCTTGTTCTTCCTCTTTATGTGGTGATGTTAACGAATCGTATACTTTAACTGTTGGATAAGCTGTTTCGTCTTGTTGTTGTGTTTTCTGAATTTTACTATATAACTGTTCACGATCATCTTGTGTAGAGGCATCTGTCATTATACGACGAGTTTCAGCAGCTATCAAAGGAGTTCCTGATTGTTGCTGACTTAAAAAATTCAACAATTTTGCACCATCAACAATCGTTAACTCAATCTTTTGTGTTTGCTCCTCCGGAACTAAATAAAAAAATGCCCTTAACACAACAGTTTTTGCTAAGCGTTTTTAAAAAAAATAAATACAAGCATGCTGTAAGACAAAATAAAAAGCATTTTTAGAGTGAAAGCACACACCTTTTGGTTTATTTAACTTTTCATCTTCATCAAATGCATGTTGACCGACTTCAGTAGTAGTTCGCAATTCCTCGCTTAAATTCTCTTTCATCAATGGTTCCGTATTATTAACGGGAGAAGAAGTGGGAGGTGACAAGCCTACAATACGAAACAAAGATAAACCACCAAAAAATAAAGCTGACAGCGTGCAAAGCAATTAGAATTATGTTGTATAAAATGCATTTACTTGTCCGAACAGTTGATGTTATTCCATTTTCTGGCGATGGTGTTAAATGGTGTTGATTGATTGAAGACGAATGTTGTGTAACATCTAAAAGTGAAATTTAATGTAAGTGGATACACTTCGATACATCCGATTGCATTCTAAAGACTAGAGAGGGACGAAAACCAAAGGAGTTCAGCTATAAGTAATGGACACCAATTCAGCTCAAAAGTACCCTCTTTTCGTTCTTGCGATTGTATGACCGTTGGCGCTTTTCTTTTTCTTCGAGTTCCATCACCATTTTGTTCACTAGTATCTGTTAAATTATTATTATCGTCAATCGATTCTTGGCTACGATGAGCTGATATATGGTATTGTTGGGGGGAAGCTTGTCCTTGAACGTAATGTTGTGGGTAAACATATTGGGACTGAGAAACAGGCACACCAACATATGGTGTTGGTGAAGATTGTACATAAATTATTTGTTGATTTTTATCGTATAATTGTTGTTGAAGTTGTGGTGACGGAATATTCGATCCGGGAGCCTTTGGTGCACGTCGTTTTTTCGAGGATGTTGTAGAAGATTGTGATTGAGCATCGAAATTTGGATCATTCCAATAGGCGTGTAATGTTGTGTGCGATGTTACAGGATGTGAAGTACGTATTGGTACAGCAGATGTTGAAGATTTTTGAACGATATTTGTTGGAGTTGATAAAGCGCGACTAACATCACCACTAGCAAGACGCTGAAACAAATAATGAAGTTTGTTTTTTATGCAAGTTTACGATAATATTTCAAAAGAGATCTGAGTAAAACTCAGTGACATTGATAAAAATACGAAATTTATGGAGTAAATCTATGAGAAAGTCTATTGGCCACTGCAAAAAAATATTTTGCTACATCTATTTTTGTTGACTCTCGCTAACGACTTCCCAATAAATTAAATTGAATAACGTGGAGTTGATAAGAAATTGATTAACATACTTCTTTTGTTGTTGTTTGTGTTCCATCATCTGGGCTTGTAGTCTGTATTTTATTAGGCGGTTGACTCTCCGATCTTACTCTATAAAGTCTATCGAATGATTGCAGCTGATTTCCACCACCATTTTCTGCTTTTTCATCTATAACAATATAAAATTTTTTAAACATCATTCTTGAGATAACCATCCAATTAACTGTTACCTTGTTTAACATGCACAAGCATTAATTCATTTGTTTTATATTCAGCCAATGATAAACCTAATAGTAATGGGTCATGTAATTTTGTTGGTAATCTTAGCGTATATTTTGAAGTATCCGTATACTGTTTTTGTTTACATATTTGTTCTTTTATCTCATACAATGGAAGAGTTGGATCGACACGTAGTAAAATCTTTTGTTGATCAGGTAAATTAACTTGTAAACGAACTGTAATCTAAAGCATTGACATCATGATTACGTTAAATTGTCGTTGAAATGTTTATAATTAACAAACCTCAAACGGTTGATTTTTCTTTGACGCTGATGTACTGTCTTTTGGTACTTCTCGCTCTTTTGGCAACAAACTTATTGTTGAACTACCTGAAATAAAAGGACACAATGACGATATAAAAAAAAATATGGCGTGTTTCAAAATTCAAACAAAGCAAGCAGTCCAAAAATAATTTACAGACAACAAAGCAATCAACTGAAGCGAAGAGTAATTTGCTTTTTTTTACCGTTCATCTGTGGAAGTTGACAGGTTCTTACTAAAATAATATCATTAAATTAAAATTTAGTACTTTTAATATAGATACATAATTCATTTATCGCTATCATGTCAAACATATATTGAATTATTCTCTATAATGTGCTACGCTATTCTAATCAATACTTTTAGTCATCATACTCATTTGCTTTTTTTTACCTATTTGTGCAACTGTTTGAGACGGTTTAAACTGAATAACATGATTATTTGAATCTAGCACCACAAGTGAATAACTACTTGGATTTAATTTATGATTAGATGCAGCTTGAATGAGAAGATCCATCATTGGTGTACTAAAAATAAAACAAAAACAACAATATTATTTATTTTCAATTGAAAATTATATCTAGATAATTTCTTACCTTGCATCGACGTTCAATGTTGAAGGTATACCATTTGGAAGAATGAGTGTTAACTGCATTTTACCTATGAAAAGAAAAAACAATAAAAATAAAAAATTTTCAAAAACATTCGATCTCCGATTTACCTGTCAGATCAGGTATGTTCACCACATCCTGATGAGAATAGTGATGATAATTATCGGTATAAGAAGGATGATGGTGAGGACTTGTTTCTAATAACGGCATATTTTCGAAGATTCAGAGAGAAAAAAAAAAGAAGAAGAATGTCCTCGAAAAGAGAAAATAAAATCTGAAAAAACAAACGTAATGTTACATCCAAGCAAATTAGGGTTAAAGAATAATATATGTGTTTTTCTTCATCAATTTTTAGTAGTGATTGATTACATATAATTGGCTAATATCAATGTGTACAGTTAGAAAGAAATGATGCGTTTTTCTTAATTGCTTTCTTTGTGCTGAGCATATATATACATAGAGAGATATAAAATGTAGAAGAAAACATACACACATTGTCTCAACTCTATCATATTTATTGTATTCTGCTATAATAATAATATAAGTGGGCTTTTTTTTTCACATTAATACTTTCTTTCATCTATTTAAAACAAAAATACGGATACAGGACACATCACAAGAATAAGATGAATATAAAAACGCAACATCATAAGAAACAGACAAATTCTACTTTTATTTAAGTAGAGACAAAAAACTATTTTCTTTGTATTTTATGAAAGTTTTTGAAAGCGAAAAACAGGTTTTTGTTTTTTGAATAAAACTAGGACAGTAAAACAATCGATGGCACAACAAAGACAGAAACGAAAAAAAGAAAAACTATTGTGTCTAGGGAGTATATCTCACTTATCTGATTCATACTGGTAAACTCTTGAAGTAATCTATCTAAGTTTTTAGCAGATAATCAGTCTCAACGACAAATTTGTCTCTCTATAAGTGGTTTTTTGACTGTTCTTAGTATTGAAATTTTATATCAAAAAAATTTTGAATATAAATATGTACCTGAGAATGCGCACACAACACAGTATATTTAACACTAAATGAACTAATTATCTTTTTCAAAATTTCAAGTTCAATCTAAAATAGATACTTGAAAAATGTTTTATATCTGATTTTTATAACGCTTCTTATCATCTCTTTCTATGTTTTGTTTAATTAAATAAAATTCTCTCAATAAAACTCTCATCGATATTTTCTCATTAAACTTTAGATCTGTTCTACTCGTTTTTTTTTCTTCAGATTTTTGATATATATTTTCCATTTTCCTCTCTATACATATCAAACGAAATCAATAACTCAGGCAAATATTATAGATGATCCATTTTTAGAATTAAACATTTCAAGTTTACTAACGATAAAATATTTAAACAGTTCACATACTTATATATTTAAGAATTAGTAAAAAACTTTTTATATGTAAAAATAGCAGAGTTTATATCTTTAAATAAAATATTTTATACATGATAAACTTCAATTTTTTGAATGGAATGATTATTTTTTAGACAGACAGAGAAAAAAAAAAGATTTTTTTTTTTTATTCGAATTTGACAATTTGCAAATAATTTGTAATATACAAAGAAAAAAACAAAAAATAATAGTACACTTTTCGTTTCAGTTATATGACACTCAATCAAACATCAAAAATGGTAAAAACATTATAAGAGAACAATTATTGACTAAAAAAAACTTTTAGTATATAGAACTTTCATCAAAAACTCATGTAGTCCATCCCTCTTCTTTATGTTAAAGGGAGGTGTGCACTTATTTCAATAATAAAAAATCGTAATAATTGCTTTTGAAGGCAATTAAATTTATCATTGTATAAAAGAAATAAAAATGAAAATCTTACATATTGATAATAATATGTCTATAGTTGTATATAGATGATAACATCTAACTTTTTCATATTCAAGTATTCAAGGTCCAAAAACTCATAGAATTAAAGTCAGTTTTTCACATACAATATTTTTTGACACACAAACATACCAACCACCATCGACCCTGATCATTTACACAATATGATTCTTCTTCTTTTCTTTTTTTCCTTCTCATATTATTTATTATTGCCTTTTACAGGGCGATAGGATGAATATACTCATCTATATCATTTTTTTTGCTATAACATTTTTCTTCTTTCTCTTTTTTTTTTTTTTTTGTTTTTTAATAGTCAACAAAAATAATGTTTTGATCTGATCCTCGGGATGAGAAGAAATAAAAGAAGAAAGAAGAAATAAATATCATTTTTGTATCAATTCTAAGGACATTTATCCCAATGCTAATAATTCATTTTGCGAAATGTTGATGCTAGTGGTGGCGGTGGTCATCAAGAACAACTCTCAACGCAACGTATATCATCCTATTTCTACTTGGACATAATAATTTATTTATGACAGATAGAATATATTTATATAATTCGGTCATCATCACGTAACGCAGACATATACACATACACACACACACACACAATGCAAATAAACTATAGATAGTTTCAGTATTGAACATGAAAAAGAAATGAAGTCGTCCCATATTGAATATTGAGAAAGGATGTCAAAAAGAAAAAAAGTATATTCTCGTGAACAATATTTTTAGTTATAAAAATATAGATGAATATTATACACACAAAAAACGATCTGTCGTAGTAGACGGAATAAGTACTACATAAATGATTTATTTATCTAAAAATTACATATTAATCGCCAGAGGAAAAAATAATAATAAATGACCAATTTTTTTTTTCCGAAAGAATGTTGGAACAGGTTAACTTCTTATAATGATAAAACATGCGAAACGGATTTTTGACACATTTACACATAAGACTAAAAATCTTAACATCATTCAAAAACATAAATCTGTTATTTAAGCCTCTTTTATTTGATCAGACTATACAATATATCCCTATCGTGATAACTTGAATGTCTCTTTCATCTAGTAAAAGAAAAAGAGGTGGATACGATTTTTTCTTATTACTAGAGTGTAACGCATGTATCACAGCTGTTCATTTACTAAATAGTTATTAATGATTACAGTCATTTTTTAACTATTTTTTACATTACATATATTTAGAACAAAAAAACCTTGTTACTAGTCTCAATTGAATAGATTTAATTACTCTTAGCACGAGAGAGTTCTATATCGTTCAAGTGAAAATTTTTTTCTTCTGTCTGTCTCTCTCTCTCTCACACGCACACACACACACACACACAGACACTCCTGACTCTACTTTAGCTTAAGAAAAATATAATGAAGTAATAAACGTGTAACTCTTCAGTATGTAAGTAAAAAATAGAAAAGGGTGAGAAATATATGTAATACAATGGAAAAAGATATGAATTAAAGATGGTTAAAAAAACAGAGAGAAAGAAGTTGGTTTTGATCTCATTCAAGTATATTATCATAAGGAAAGTACAGTAATTACAGTAAACAGTCAGGAAAAAAATATTAGTCAAATTTCTTCCAATAAAGAATGTCATCCTCTAGCAAACGATCGTTTTATAAATGTAGTAGCTGCTATTTTAAGCCAATTTCCTTAGAAGAATGTATATACTAAAGGAGTTTTGTTTTATACAATTAGAAGAACGATATTTACATTCACCAGTCAAAGGTTTTTTATCTTAACCAAATCGTGTTCATACAAACTAAAATATTCTGTTTAGAGAATGAAATGCATGTGCATTTTTTTAATAACAAACAAGAATATATATTATAGCTTTCCCAATAAATATTATTTTTTAACCTGAATATTCGCGCAATTTTTATAAATACTACAAAAGTATATGTTCAAAAATAACTGTATTTGTATTTTTTTTTGTTTTATAATTTAAGATCATCTACCATTGTTGTTACAACGTCGTAAAAACTTTTTGATACTTGATCAACATTATTTTGTGTAATTCCGCATATATTTATTCTTCCATCATTCATTAAATAGATATGATGTTGTTGTACAAGTATTTGACATTGTCGAGAATTTAAACCAGTAAACGCAAACATTCCATGCTAAATCAATAAAAGACGAAAGTTACTAACAATTAGGCAGCAAATAATAAAAAGCAAGATAGCGTTTTTCCAACTGCCTATGTACAGGCGATAGAATCTATAGATAGTTATTAGTTCTTTTTTATCATGTCCACATGTGTCTTTACATTAAACGACAAAGACTTTGTTATCGTTTCTCTCTATGATAAAAGAAAGACATGTCATCTTGAATAGATTTTCAAACGTGGAAGCTAACAAAAAATAGTAGAATAAACTTAATAAAGATAGATACTTTCCATGAATTATTTTTTCATTATTTATTCTCTTTTAAATACCGGACGTAGTTCAAACTTGCACTTCTTTATAGCTCAGAGCCAGAGGTTTCAATTGTTTTCATTTAGTGTGGGAATATTTTTCTGCAACACGGTCTTGTTTTAACACTAGAACTCCCGTAGCGGTCATTTTGACTGTTTTGTAATTTTTATCCTTAATAAAACAAACTGCATACAATTTATTTAAAAATAAATTATGTCATAACTTTTAATTTAAAATTTTAAAAAAAACAGTAACGGTCAAAATGGATGTTCTAGGTCATGAAAATTTCCGAGCGTTCTAGTGTTAAAGAAGTGTGTATGCTAATATTTGACAGACTATCAGAATTTAAAAGACTGTCTCTTAGTTATTTTGACAGGCAGATCATGGGTTATGAGCGTCCTACATTAGCTGCTTTTGATAGCTCGCAATCTCTTACAATCTGCTAGATCAACTATTTGTAAGATAATCGCGCCATTTGTTGTATTCATAAAAAGGTGATGACAGGTTTTTAGCAGAACAAAAATCCAGTGGACAGTGCCAAAACTTAGGATGAGGAAGTTTTTGCCCCTCCTCAATCGCAAATCCTACTCAGATCGTAATCTTTGCAGCATACACAAAACTGTATTAAAAAACTATCACAAACCTGCGTTATGATGTGATCCCAATTACCTGGTGTGCCTAAGATAAAAATGAACAATATCAAACTCATTGTTTATGCCATTGAATTACAATATTTACCTAACTGTTTTAATTTTGTATATAATAATTGTCTCATCGATTGTATTCTTTCGTACATTGCTCTCACATTATCTTTCCACTGTAAACATAATGTTGGATTATTTAAAATAGTTGCTACAATACGTGCTCCATGTACGGGCGGATTTGAATAAATTTGTCGAATAATTGTTGTTAACTGTGAGCGAAACTTTGGTATGATATCTGTTGAAGAAAAAATACCCATTAAATGACCAATACGTTCATTATATAGACTAAAATTTTTTGCAAACGATTGTGCTACTAATAACTCGTGTTTTTGATGATCCGCAAAATAACGTATTGACCATGCATCTTGATCTAAATCACCGCTGGAAAAACCATGATAAGCAAAATCAAAAAATGGAAATAATTTTCGTTGTTTAATCACGTCTGATATTTGTTGCCATTGTTCATGTGTTGGATCACAACCAGTAGGATTATGAGAACAAGCATGCAGTATAATGACACTGTTTTCCGGTGCATCTTGTAAATCTTGTAATAAACCATCAATATCTAAATTTAACTTATCTTTATTCCAATAACGATATTGTTTAACATCAAACCCAATCGATTGTAGAATAGAACCATGGTTGCTCCATGTAGGCGATGATATGTAGCCAATTTTGTATCCATTACGATACAAAAATTTAAGACCAATTGTCAAACAACCTGTGCCTGATAATCCTTGAATTGAACATGCACGATTTTCTATAATCGATGATGATTGTTTACCTAATACCAATTCTAAACATGCTTGACAAAATGAATCCTGACCAATCGGTTTTAAATAACTTTTATCCAATGTTAAATCTTGAGCCATTGATTGTTCAACGGCACGAACAACAGATAACGTAGACATTTTACCATTTTCATCTTGATATACACCCGCACCCAAATTAACTTTAGACGGATTTTTATCGTTATTAAATAATTCAGTTAAACGAAAAATTTCAATTGGTGGATCGCTAGAAACTGTATGGCGAAAAAAATGTTGATATAAAAATTAAGTATGAACTCTAATAAATAAGAACTTACTACAATCGAAAAAACCCATTACTTTTACTGTGATAACTATAAAATGTGGATTGAAACACAGTACAGAAATAAGAAAAGAGAAAAATAACTATTTGTTTTGATAAAATTCGCATTAAAGAGTTGATATACCGATTGACAAACATCATAAACTATTTGTTAGATTATAAAAGTTGCAACCAGGTCAATATCCTCTCACATTGATAGTTAAAAATAACCAAAAATCGCGCTACGAGAGAGAAAGAAAAATAGAATCATGGGATAGAAAATTTTTCGTTCACAAACTGAGATAATAACCCTTATCAACTAACAAACTTTTATGCATTCTTAAGCGTACTAGAAATGAGAAATGTTATGCAGGTCAATTACGTGTACAAGTAAATGAGAAACCTCAGTTGCTGAAATCGATAAAAAACTGAAAATTCTGATATAAAAATTACATATAAACACGCATGAATACAAACTTACTACAATGATTGTTACACGGGTTTAATAAGACATTGAGACTGAGAATACAAACACTGTTCACTTTCTTTAGCAGACCTCCTGCAATATACTTATTTCGTCCGTCAAATGCTCCGACTCACATGTTCAGTAATTAAAAAATTCAACCTTGGATGAGTATGCATATATAACAGCTATAGTTAAAAACCATCAACAGGTTTTTTGTTTTTTCTTTCACATATACAACAAAAATCTCGAAATATTTATTATTTCACTAATAAATTTATGTACATACACACACATATAACATAAGATTAACGTCAAGTGACTGAATTAATAAAATGTTGACACGTCAAAATGATAATAGTGTGAAAATTGTCTTTTTTCGGGATGAAACATCTGCGGATAGAGCGAAAGTAAATAAACCCCAAGAACGAATTTTGTTTTTGATAAAAGTAAACAAACAGTCTCTGTGTGTATTTTTAATAAAGAAAAGGTCTATCTCAGACAGTACACACCACTAATGAATCGAATCGCTTTTTTGTTTTATAAATAGCATAGCTCTCGCATCTTTTTTCAATAATCCTGTCAAGGTTAGAACTCATTGTCTGAATTTTTGTTAATCAGTACTCTCTTTCTTTGACCATTTTAGGAGAGGATTAAGCGCGTGGTATACATCTTTTATAGCGATGAGATAAATTTCCATAAATTCAATTAGTAGATATGTGTAGATTGCATAGATAAATATATCGTCATTAAATAACTTGACAATCAATAACAGACAGGATTACAAGTCCTGGATTCTTACGATCAGAATAAGACATTATAACTTGTTTCACACAAAATCTGTTTTCCACTGATCCCTTAATTAAATCCATAGTCATAGGTTCAACACACTTGAATGATGAATACACGTGATGAATACATACGACACAGATATTGAAAAACAACAGAGGAATTAAATTATCGATACCTATAATAAATTGGATCTAGGATTTTGTTAGTCTTTGTATAGTGTGATTTGACGAGTATTTTTAATAGAATCTAAAACAGAATGTGTTTATACACTTTGCTATTGAATGCAAAGTGTACAAAAGCGTATACAAGTCGAAAATTTATCGTAGAAAACGTAAAAAAGAAAAATTTCGTGACATCACTTTTATTAATAGAATCGATTCATACAAAAGAAAGAAAAAATGTCATAAAAAATTATAGATACGTTAAGGAAACAAGTGAAGCAGTAGTACTGATAATATAAATTCTTATCAGCCACAATCCTAAATCAAAAAAGCAGTAAAAAAGAATGCACTATTATACATAATACCACATCTACTATAATTTTTATTGTTCGCTAAAAATACCTTGAACTTTTTCATTGTTGTCGTTGATCCATTTTTTTCATCATCTCATCATCGTCTTTGTTCACATAAACACAGTCAGTACAAAACTACAGCATTGAAATTATTGATACAGCTAATGCAACACGACATGCGTAATATAACTATTTTGCACAAACTTATTTTTCGTCAAGCTAGGCATAATATTCACTTTTACGATAACATTGCTTGCGCTTGCTTTGGATCATCTGACGGTCTGTCGCAACCATCGACACATTTAGATGATACTCAATTATCCTGAATTTTTCATCATGCTCATTCGTATTTTGTATGACAACAAATACCATGCATGATGACTGCGATTATTTGCAGTTGTTGCTGTCGTTCTTTCATTTTTGTATGGCAAATTAAATTATACTCTTTTTAATAGTTCTGATCTTGCTTGCTTAATGGAAGAAAGGATTTAAAACGATTTTTTAGATGTTCTATATTTCTCAGTTGAAATTGTTATGATACTGTTGCTGTTAATGGTGTATCTTGTATTCTGAAACTACCTATGTGTTTAATCGGGTTTCGGAAACGTTTTTCGTTCTTGTATTATCTAGGAACAAACAAGTGGATTTCAAAGATCACAAAAACGTTTCTACAACTTAAAGAAGAAAGATAACCGATTCACTAGCCTTGAGAAGAAAATGTTTCAATACATTTCTTTTTATCGCTGTCATCCTACAACAATCGAAAATAAAATATCATAATATCGAAACAACGAATGGAAATAGTTTCAAAAGTTATTACTCGTCGGTTCTACAAATGTTAAAATGCAGTATAAGATGATGAAATGGTTGGTTAACGTTAAACGAAAACATGAGAGAAAAAAATGTAGTGCTGTCTTTTTGATCTGTAAAACTCTTTAAAAAGTAAAGTGTAGCGTTTTTTATTAAAGATAAAGTGTATTTCTTTCCTCCTGGCGGCAACAAACAGAGCTTGTATATTCAGTTCTGCCGGCACACCATGCCATACAATTTGCTTCTGTTGCACCGTAAGAGAAAGATCTAGAGAATATAATTCCCTTGACTTTAAAATCAAGGGTCCTACAAAAGACCCGAAAGCGAAAAAATTGTCTCAGATAAGTGAAAACTTCTAGAATCGAATAATCACGAAAGAACTACATCTAAGCAGATAGTTAAACACTAAGCAGTAGTTCCCGGAGACTGAGGGTTTCCAGAAAACTTTTGGACTTGTTTGGTGTGTCGGTGAGTGGAAGTTGTGGTGTGTCTTCAGACAAGAATCAGTAGAACACCTGAGAGCAGAAATTTTTGCACTGCTGGTCTAGTAAAACTTCGAGATATTTGTATCTGATTGAAAGTAACTTGTAGATGCTTCATGCCTGAAGTATTCTGTTATTGTGTTGAGCGAAGATTAACAATTTTTTTGCGAGGATCGACCGAAGGGAAGCGCGAGCTTACTTCATACTTGTAAAAGAAAAGTGTTGGATAACAGACTGATGTATTCATGAGTGTAACCTTACGCAGCTTAAGTCAAGTTTTTGTTGTCTGTATACCAGTGAGCTGCCTGTTAATGGCCACTGCACATTTTGTGGACAAAACCAATCAAAAGGGAGGAGCAGTGAAGGCTAAATGTTGATAGAATTACCTAGCCGAGAACTAGCTATTAGATGTGCTTGTTAAATATATACAGTTTTAAAAAACTTAATCGCAATGGTTAAAGTATACAGAGGACACCACTTTACGATGTGGTTAAACGCTAAAAATTACCTTTTCTAAAGGAGTGTTCTATATATACGTTGATAGAATTAGATAATCAAAGAAGAAAGAAAATGCTAATGAGCGCACCTGATCTAAGTACTCTATAAGAACTTTGAAAAACTGACAATTATTTTCAATATTGCATACTTGGCATGAACTTTTACAAGTACTTCTTAAAAATTGCAATAC